TTATTAATTTTTAGCTGCTTGGATATTCAGTAATACAAGTATCCTGTTATGAAAAGATCGAGATAAACTCAATATTCCAGTGGAAGCACTAGCTTGTGTTTGATCGGCCAGTTGGAATGGCATATCGTAGTTCACCCATGGAACGCGGATGCATGGCGATAGTTGTATGGCTACAGAAGGGAGAAGCTTAATTGAAGAACTGCTTTAAGCCAATGAAGATACGACCTCATGCGATGACGGTACGTGATAATTTTCTACGACAACATGTCCATGATTCACGATGCGACATAAAAGATGGACTATAACCACGTTTGGAATGAGATTCGAGCATCAAAGAGAAAGAGGTGTTACCTCCATAAATCCTTTGTGAAAGGATTGATAACAAAAGTTATGATTACTGTAATAAGAGAGAATAAGTGAAAAATGCTTGGGAGAGAGATTGTAATTGGCGGGATGAAAATGTGAGAAAGAGATATTGTAAGGCCTCCAAAGGCCAAGTAGGAGATGCTGGGTTTATGTGGCTTTTAAAGGCCTAGCTTGTATGAAAATTTTATATAGTGAAACATAAATTCAGTGGGAGTGTGGTCCTCTTGTGTACCATACTAGGTAAATGCGATTTACCGATACTCGGATTAGGCTCGACATGCTAGGTCAGCCAAGTTTGGAAAAATCCAATGTACTTGGGCATAAAGATCTACCAAGAAGGGTTTAATGGGTTAACCCTTGATGATATCAGAGTATGTCCAGATGAGCGTCAAGGGACTGTGTAGCTCTTGCATGTGATGAATAGCCTTTAGAGACAAGGTTAAAACCTCATCATTATATCATCACACGGCATGTACATAGATAATCATTTAAGATTCACCAATGAAGGTGAAGCGTGTGCACGTGCGAGAAATTACACCTATGCACCATAGAGTCATGATTGCATCATGGTCTGGAGGACTATGAGTTTTTTGTCTCTAGGGGAGAATATGAAATCCATAAACTGGGAATGCGTCCCCTAGTCTATTAGCTGATTTTGGTAGTCCAATCATGAGCCCCTGTAGTGGACTGTAGGTCATGGAAACTGCTGGGTCAGTTTGAAAATGCTAGGCAGATCGTGATTCGCAGTTGAAAGTGGTATGCTCCCATGTATTGATAATTCTTAGATCTAACGGATCCGATTCTCATCAAAATTAATTAGTTTTAATTAATTTTTTGATATATGATTTTTAGAAATGTTTATTTGAATTTCTGTAAATCTTATGATATTTTATTTTTGTCATTTGGATTTATAAATTAAGAAAAATTTATTTTTCAATGTTTTAAATAAAATATAATATTTAAAAATTTTAAATTAAGATAAATTAATTTTCAATGTTTTAAATAAAAGATAATATTTAAAAATTCTAAATATGAAATAAAATATATTCTAAAAATATATTGGACCTCCATAAAATATGGGGCCAAAATTTAAAAACGTGTGAATTAGGTGGGGCCCACACGTGGCCACCAAAAGGGTGGCACACCCTACCCAATCGCGTATTCTTCTCGGGAAGAATGTTTATCGTTTGTTTGTTGGCTTATCTTTTAGGGATAGCCAACTTACATGATAAGGTTGAATATTTAAAATATTTAGCAAACCTTTGAATAAAAATTGCTTGATCCAATAAATAAAGATTAGATATACTAAAATAGAAAACAAGATATATAATTTCTTTATTTAAAGATTTAGTGAGAATAGATTTAGGAAATAGAAGAATAAGGTTTTAGCTCATCTCTTTGAATCTTGATGGTGTATCAAAGTGATTGATGATTCAAATCTCTCACCCCACAAGTTTCCTCAAGATTTAACCCTACGAATTGAGACAAACCCCAATGCATAGAAAATCTATAAAAAGAGGTTTTCCCTTTCATAAAATTACGTACGTATTCTCTCTTATCTCTTTAAGAATTCTCTTTTTCCTACCCAAATTTAGTTCTCTCTCTGGATTACCAAAGGTAAGCCACGCCCGAAGTTTTATCATGTATCTCTCCCTAGTTTTTCTAAGGACACACCCAAGTCATCTCTCTCTCTCATTTCTAGATGGCACATCCAAGCTAAGGATAGCTTGTGGTGGTTTGATTTTTAGGTAGCAAAGGGGAGGATCCGTAGATCTCTCCCTCTCTTTTTGATCTATCTCTCATCTCTTATCTCTCAAAAGATCAAGCTAAAGGGGCTTGAGCAAGACTAAAGCATTGAGGCTTTAGGTAGTTGGTTTTAGATCGAGATCCATATGCTATTGAGAGAGTTTCAAGGAGAATCAAGAGACCGGTCATAAATCCCGAGCACCATCGGAAGGAGGAGACTCGGTGTAGGGTGTACTAAGCCGGGTTGAGGTAATCTTCGGTACTCTCTTTTTGTTTCTTGTCATATTTAATTCTATTATCTTTATATTCCCAAGCAAAAGAATTGTGAATATTTTATTTGTTTAAAGAAAATTGGTTTAATGGCATCAAGGTTTTAAAATCTTGGATTTGCTAGTTTTATTTTCTTTGAAGCAAGAGTTATTGTAATAAGACTACTTGTAAGTGATCTTTACCAAAATCTTGAAAATAGAAGGTCTTGATAATGTATTGCAAGATGTGCTATTTTTGGGACTTAAATTACCTTCTTTTTTTTCTTTTTTCTTTTTTTTTGTATTCATACTTCTTGATGTCAATATGATCAATTAGATAGTTTTCTAAAATCAAAGTAGCCTTTTGGGATATTCATTCTATAATTTAAGGTATCAACCGTATATAAACTTTTGCCATACATATAATCATGAGTTGGGGATGCCAATGGGCATATTATTAAATTATAAAAATATATACCATGAGACCATTTATTTAATATAAGGAGATCACAACTACTATTGACCTTTAGATATGGAATTGGGTGGTTGGGAATGTATCATGGACTAGACACAATATCCAAAACAAAATTTCTCGAATATTGTAGCACACTTCATTTCATTAATTATCACATCTAACAACTAAGAATGATTGTGACCCCCTTGTACTAAAAATAGTTAGTCTCATAGTACGTAATTCGTTAAAAGAAAATTTTTATATATGGGTGAGGCCCTATAGTTATAGGAAAACAAAAAGTAACGAACTTCCGCTCTTAATTCGAATGAGTACCTGATCTAATTAGATGTTAAAAATGGCTTAGTACATGGTGCGGGAAAAGATTCTCCTGTGAGTGGATTGTCAATTACTTTTTTTTTTTTTTCACTCAAAAAAGAATCCCAGCTATTCACTATTTTCCATAAGCTGTTGGAATAGAGAACAGAGAGCTCTCCGCCTTTTCTGCCTGACTATTTGGTCTTAAGAATGCTGGTTTTAAGAATGAGTGATTAACCTTCTCCGACCCTTACTGCCCAACTAGAGAGTGGACAACTAATGTGTTTCACTTATTGAACAGGGTATATGGTCGGTCTATGACCCCTAGATACTGAAGGCGTCATTGTGATGATCTCGTAGTTCCTACGGGGTAGAGACAATGGGGTCGCCCAGTATGAGTTTAGACAAAATACAATTTATTCAGTCAGTATAGCCTTTTTTGGAATATTCATAGCCAGTCTTTTATATGAGTCTATTCATTCATATTTCCAGAATTTGGACTTAATCAACTCATTTGCAAAGATATATAGGAATTGAACCTACGAATTTGCCAATTATGAGTTGGGCGCTTTAACCATTCAGGCATGGATGCTTAATTTCACAAGGATCATCATAAATAAATATCATCACGAATAAGCAGACTTCAATTGAAATGAAATCTTTAGGAGGAATCAATGAAAGGACATCAACTCAAATCCTAGATCTTCAAATGAGACAAGTAAACAAATTTCCTAACTATATATGAATATCAGTTCTAATGAGACAAGTTATAGTGATAAAAGATCAGAATCACAGAGACCTATTTGGTAAGTATCCAAAAGAAGAAGTACTCGATTAATCTGTAAAAGACACTATTTTATGAAATGTTAAATAAGGCGCGCCTCAAAAATACACCAGAATAAGTTGTTTTAATGTTGAAAAGTCCTCAATTAAATCATCTCGATCTCAAGATGTATGGATATGAAAAAAAATAGATTTCAAGCTTTTGTAATATTGCATTATGTAATGTATTATATACATCTTGTAATGTATTATATAGACCGTCAATTTTCAAAACTTTCAAGCTCTCATAGATCTGTTCGATTTACACTATTTTTGAATTTTAAAATTTTATAACTAGAGATGAAAGTAAATTTCTAGACCATCACAAAGATTTTTTAACCTACAACAACACTTTTCAATACCATGTGAAGGTGCGCCTTACTTTGATTGATTCGGGCCTCAGCCTTATACAATAATACAAACCATACCCTTCCTTAAAGTTCCTTAAATTATACATCTCTCCAAAATATCTTAATAAATTGGGCGTGGTTTCTAAAAGGTTGCAACCTTAAACAATCCAATTAAGGCGCACTTCCAAATTTTATCATAACACATAATTCTAATGTAAAAATTATTAGGATTATTTGAAAATCTATTTCCATATCTAATTATAAAATTTTAAACTCTAAAAATGGTTAAAATCAAGTATATCTATGAACATATGAAAAGCTTGAAAATGAACGCTGTAGACAATGTGTTGCAAGATTCACTATTTTTAAAACTTATATAATTTTTTTTTTCGTATTTATTAATCTGGATGTCGAAATGATCAATTAAAAGATTTTTAATATTAAAATAATATTTTCCCATGGATTTTTGAGACGCTACATTTTTAAGGTTGCAACCTTATATAAACTTTTTCCTAATAAATTTTTCAGGAATGAAAGAGGGGCCCTCGCTGTTTTACTTCTCCGAGGTAAATACAGTGTGATTGCAACTTGCAAGGACGACGGTCCCGATTCAGCTCCATCAGAAACGTAGTCTTTACAAGAAGAGATCTTAACCGTCCATTCTGCAACAGTCGACCATGGAGTGTAAAAGAATAGCTTTTGGCATTTACTTTTGGATGAGCATCTCACGCACTCTCTCTCTCTCACCCCTCTCATCACCCTACTCAGATATCTCTCTCCTTGTCACTCAAGCCAAATCTCAACCTCCAAAATGAGCTCTGAAACTCTATCACGTACTTTCAGCCAATTCTTTCGATAGTTTCTATAATTATTTGACCTCTTCATTTTAAATGAGCTCTGAATTCTCCCAAAAGCTGTAAATTTCAGTTTTTTTTTGTTTTTTTGTTTTATATTTTTTTATTCATTTGTTTCCTGAAGCTCTGCATTGAAGCAGAAGTGAGCTAGAAAGCCCTCTCTCCAGAATTTTGGAGTTATTTTATAACCGAAGCTCTGCTACAAAGCATCAAGCACCTATTCATTGTCATGGCTGTTGATTCTGTAATCCTCGGAAGAACTTCACTTATAACTAGTTGCAAATTCTCCATAATACTAGAAAGGAATCACAGAGCAGTATTCTTTCGCCGGAGCCCTAGTTTTACCCCATTTCATAATCCTCCTTTGTTGAGTTTAAGATACAGCTTTAATAAGTGGAAACCTCGTAGAACTCATCAATGCACTTACAACTCCAAATCAGGGTTTTGTTTGGGTTCTAATGGTGATGGAGATGGTTCAGCATCAAATATTAAATTGAGAGAGCATGGAACTCTAGGGTTTTGGATTGCTTACAAGAAGAGTGCTATTGTTGCTTTGGTGGCAATAGTTTGTACCCTTTTCGTGGGTCATTTCAGAAGGGTTTTTGCGGCAGAAGTTGTTTCAGAGATGGGATTTCCAGTATTTGGGGGCATCCAGGGGTCTTTTAGAAGTGGATTTGGGCCAAAATTGATGCAGGTTCTCAGTGTGTTCCAAAAACAAGGGTTGCTTTTGGCTATTTTGTTGGGTTTATCTGCCTTTTTTTCAATGGCTGAGACCTCGATCACAACCTTGTGGCCATGGAAGGTATGTTTATGTACAGAGACAATTATTAAGATTACATATATTTTGCCTATATATTTTCAAATATAGAGCCTTATTGAATGGAATTCGGGGTGGTCTTTATTTTATATATAGCTTTATTGAGTGGGGTTTCTACCTTAACTATTAGTTCAAAGCATTTTCTTCTCTGCCCAACAAATATATACATAAATCTGTTTAAAAACTTACATCGATCTACTCCGCAACTCATATGAGAATAGCTAGAAAATGAAAGCAATTCGGGTACGTAAAACCTGTGATTCTTTCATGGATATCGACCTATATTCCTGAAGAAATATAACATGGTTGCGCATCTTCTTTGGTAGAGAATTTAGAATTGTTTATGAAAAAGGCAGTCCTTTGCTCAGATTGTTTATGAAAAAGGCAGTCCTTTGCTCAGATTGTTAATGAAAAAGGCAGTCCTTTGCTCAGATTGTTATTCATTATGGTGGAGGAATGCCACCATGCCTCAGATTGTTATTTGGATTTGAAGAAGGCATAAGCAGCTAAAGCATATGCGAACATGTTAGTACCGATTCACTTAAATCTGAAATTCTTTTTCGCTCGTGGATTTGTTTCTTTGGCTGCCAGTGCGAAAAATCTGATGGTACGGTGGGAATCATTTATATGGATTTTTTTATGAATCTGAGTTGACGTTGAGTGGTGCCATTCACTTATTCTCATTTCTAATCAATTAGCCAGTCAAGCCAAGTGTTAGACACCCTTCATGAAATGCAAGAGCCACCAAAGTGATAAATGTTGCTCTTATGTCTTGGAAACTTGAGTAATGGTAGGTTTGGATAAACCAATAAGAACAAAGGAAAGGAACTTATGTTTGGATGAATAACCCTATCCAAGAGATTCATAAACCTGAAAACCTTGAAATATTGGTTAATGACTTCTTAAATTCTCTAGTAAGGCGTGGGAACTTCATGGCTGCATTTGGGACAAGGAAACAAGATTTTGACATGTTATGCTGGATTTTAGAATGGATGACTCAATGCTGGCTGAAAATTGAATGATGGGATTGTGGGGTGTGAATGGCTTTTGAAGGGCCAGAGATGGATGAGGTGGCTCCTTAAGTGTTGCTTATTGAATCAAGCCTACATTGTTACATTATTGCACATATCAGACATACACGTCAATTGCAAATCCCCACTCAGAGAACTAGGCCCAGTCCTAGGCCTGATCAGGCTGTGTTTGGCCTGGGCCAATATGGCTGGGCCGCCCCTGTAGGCCCAGCATAGCCCGGACCTTGATGTTTGGCCAATCAGGTAGGCTTGACCCCGCTAGTCTGTAAGAGCAACACATTGACTGTTACTCCTATCCCGCTCATCGAGAGTGAATGGTTTGATGAGAAGCTTGATGAAATTTGCTATGTTGGTTCTTATTGTTCTTCTTTTATATCTGTATTTAACATAGAGGTACACATGCATTTCTTGTAGTTAGAGGACCTTTAATTTAGACTGGAAACCGGTCCCAAAAGCTTTAATGAATGATGTTTGTGTCATGAATGAATGATGTTTGTGTTTATTGTTGATGTGACTTTATGCTCAATGGTGAACTAAGAATGATATGAGTTAATAGTTTTTTTAAAAGAATGTCTTTTATCATGAGTTTTAACAGGCAGGGGCTGACACAGGGCTGGGCACCCAGTCTAAGCAAACAGGTCTCTGCCAGGATGGCCTGGGCTGTAGAAATACTTTTATCAATTTATGATAGGGCTGGGGCCATGGGCATGGCCCCTTGAGCGTGTCAAGCTTGGGCGTGGCCGGGCTAGGTCTCTAAGGTTCAGGGCTGGCCTAGGCCTGTCTGTCCCCCAGACAAATTAGTATATGAGCTGACTAGAAAAGTTAATTTGGTGGATGACTCTTTTATCGGGAATGTGGTTCTCCTTTCAGTCCTATGACTATTATGGTTTCTTTTAGTACTAAGATATTCATCAAGCAAATTCATTCTTTGGTTTGACTTTTGGTGTGGTGATGATGCATTGAATTCCCGTTTCTTGTTAAGAAATGTTATTTATTTGGTAGAAGAGGCTTGAGATTGTAGAGAGAGAGGAAATAGGGCAGAGCTAGCGCCTTTAAGAATATTGCATTCCAGATGGAAGCCATACAAAGAGACTGCTATTGTGGGTTTATTTTTTGTTACAGCTTCTCAAGGATAAGATGGGGGGAGGCATTTGGCACAATTTGGTATTAGAGATCTAGATTTCCCGTAAGAAATTGAAAATATGGGAAACTAGAAACCTGGAATTTGTTCTCCCTTTTTGGTAACCTGTCTAGATTCCTTGATGATTTTAGTGTCGATTGTTTTCCTAGGAAACTGAATGTGGGAATATGTGACTTAGCTTCTTTTAACCTTTCATTTGATTAGGGATTGATGTTTGTCCAATGGAAATTTTTTTGTGATAGCCTATTCATAGTAGGACGAACATTTTGGATCTAAAGTTCTGGATTTATTATTACTATCACAAGTTTAATTTTAATATATTTTCATGTTTTGGTTAATTAGTTGGGCTATTCTATTAATATACAACTTGATCTAACACTCGATTTATCTCCATCAACATACCAAGATTAATTAAGCTTGACTCTTTGGTCATTTGCACTCTAAACCTCTCGAAGATCAATAAACTCCATGGAAATATTGCATGGATCAACGTAAAGGGGTGGGAGAGTGTTGCATCTTGTCATTCATTAAATTACAAACAATAAGGGTGTAGAGTTCAATGTTTGTCCAAACCAAGCTTATTCCAATTTACTAACTAGTTTTAATGGGTTCTTATATTGAATTGCCAACTCTAAAACTCTTCTCATCGTTGGCGAGAATCAAATAATAATGAACAAGCCACTTCCCCCAAAAGAAGAAAATTCGAAGTTGGTCAACAATGTGATAACATAATTCCAAAGAATGCTTAGAGATTGGTACTCGGGTTAGGACTTGTTTGGCTCTCGATCCTAAGTCACTTGGTCCAACATTACCTGTGAGTAGCTATAGTGGTGCTTGCCATGTATCAAATTTTAAAAATACCAGTAACTTTTGTTGGTAGTACCGAGAAGCCCATTTTACACGTGCTATCATATACTTTCATACATGTCTTTCACCATCAAATGCACAAAGCAAAAATAAACATATTGCCCTAAGACGTCACTGGTGCCATGTTCTCATGAATAGTTGCAAAAACAGTACATCGTCATCATCATCTGAGCCTTATCCCTACTATTTGGGGTTAACTAAACACAATACATAACAACAAAAACAATATATTAGTGTGAGTTGCCATGGGTCCACCAGGACTTGCTGTGCCACAGGTTGGATCTCCATTGTCCAATGGTGTACCAAATCAAGGAAATTCATACACTCAACTCAAACTAACTCAAGAATATTTAGGGACACAACTCATAGGGTTTACCCTCCTCTCTAGGATTTCTCTTCAACTCTGTAAGGTTTTTTTTTTATTGCACATGCACAAGCTATTGAATAATTCGCCCCTCTTCATCTCGGGTGATAGCCTTTAAAAATATTTGCCCTTGATCCAAGAGGACACCTTCCTCTATCAAGCACGTGCAATAGCACATCGAGGGACTCTCATAGTTGCTGGAAACAATTTTGAATTCGAATCGTTTTAGGAATTGCGGTCGACTAGAAGATTCATGTTTTCAGCATCGACGTCCGTACAATAGAAATAATTGGAAACGAGATTTTTATTTTATAGGGATCGAAATTTGACCAAAATGGAATCGCGATCCCGACATACATGGAATTAAGTTTCCAACCGATTTGGAATCAACCAATATAGAATCAAGATTCCTTCATTTATGGAATCGAGATTCCGACATCTTTGGAATTTTGATTCCTAGGCAATTTGAATCGAGATTCCGACATCTTTGGAATTTTGATTCCTAAGCTATTTGAATCGAGATTCATTCTAGTTTGGAATCGAGATTCAGAATCTCGATTCGACCTAGATTGGAATCGAGATTCATAGCAGTTTGGATTCGAGTTTTGACCCATCTGGTTATCGACATTTGTAACCACCTTATAATCAAGCATCAAGCAAACACATGGATAGATAATGACAGATTTAGAAGTTAGTAGAAGATTACATATTGGATAATTACAATGCATACTTAAAGAATTAAGTAGAATGTGGACCACCACTTGGTTTCTATTGGTTATTTCATGCCAAGAAAGATGACTACACCTTGTAGTTTGAGATTGAGTGTCTAGATCGAGTAGTTTGATGCGTTGAAAGCTTCTAAAGATCATTTCTCAGAAAAAAGAAATAAAAAAAAAAGAAAAGAAAAGAAGAAGACGAAGTGCTAGAATTTCAATAAATATTGAGGGATATGTGCCTTTGATTCTAGGGGTGAAGGCGTGGAGTATTCAATTTTTAATGTTGCAAGGGCAAGTTATCTTATTTTAATACTCCAAGGCCTTGCAAAAGAAGTTATGCTTGCCATTGTTACTTGCGAAAGACATTGGAAAGGAACCTGTTAAGAACTTAACTCTAAACTTTCGTAATTGAATGTTGATTTATAGAACAAAAACTCCGGCAATACATTCATTGGATTATTGTTCAGAGCACACATGATCTATGGGAGATAATCATCTCTAGTTTCAGTTTCCAAATAACTCAAATCAAATCCATAAATAATTCAGCTAATTTATAAGTCGTATATTTATGCACTTAGAATATTAATATTTGATTTTGTTGTATTATGAAACCCCAAAATCCTCAATGTGCATGTTGATTAAAGAACCATCTTTCTTCTATCAAGCCACAATCATGTGTCACCATGGGATAACAACTAACTCCCATCTTGACATCCATATGAAACCTTAAAGCCAACTCTTTTCTTATACGTAATAGCCCTTCAAGCATTTTCTTATCATATAATGTATCTATGCAGTCATCATCATCAGAGCCGTTTCCTAACTATTTGGGGTCTGCTACACGAATCTTGGTCTGCCATTTTGCT